CATACACGTGATGTGGTAGGGCTACATCCCAGCTATAGGTTCATTGTTGCACATGCTTAGAACAGAACCGTCGTTTATTGTTCGAAAATAAATTGAGTTCAGATCTGGCCTGACATTGACAAAATGAAGCAAGATGAACTAACCGATTATATTGAAAGATGTCAAGTTTTTGAACATGATGCAGGATTTTGTTTTCTCTACAAAATTGTTTCTAAATCACATATAATCTTTGTTCATCAACACCTTCGTGGCTTCAACTTGCTGATTTCTCAGATTTTCAAGCACAAGGATTTCACATTTTCAATTCCTCCATCGTATCACCAATCTCAAACCTATATGATTCAGTGAGTTTCCCTATCATGGCTATAGCTGCATCTTCCTCAGCATCCACATCAGTGTTCAACGGCCTGGTCAAGTCTACCTGACATATTTTCTTTGTGCTAATAATAACGACTTTCATGCAACTATACTCGGCTCTTCTTCCATCAATCTTCTTAAGAATTTCATCTAAAATTACCTTCCGAGAGACACAAACAATCCCCAAGTTATATGTATATTAGGGATAACCCGTACACATAATTGTGAAAGGAGAATCACCAAGACAGTTACAAATAATTTAATCATGTGAAATATATTACCTCTTGCCACCGTAGCCATGGATCCTTCTTGCTTCGTCTGACACTAACCCACATGCAGCTTACAGCAGGTCATTATAAAGAGCAAACCAAGACACAGTTTTATAGTATTGATTAAGTGCAAAGTAAAATGGTAACTGAATCATTAACTTCCCACTACCCACTCAACTAGCATCACAGTTCGGACAAATACAAATAATAAATTACAAACTTGTGCATTCATCTTTAATTAAAGGAAAAGACTGTCATTCCTACCCATATTCTGAATATATCATGGAGCAATGTTCAAAACAAACATAAATTTTCAAAAGCATCTCTATTATTGCATCAATGATGGGCGGGAGCGGCAACGCGCGGCTTCATGGTCTAGTTAAGGACAGTAAAACTGAGCCTAAAGGAAGCCTTCTCACGACTTGAGTGTTTATGGCCGTCCATTCGCGTGATCTGGTCGATCTGAGTCGTTAGATCTGCTGCCAATGTCGAGCTCTACCGCAGTTTCTTTTTCCTGGCCCAACTGTCCTAAAGGGCCTCTACTCTGGAAGAAAAAACGGAGATATGTGGTGCACTGGGCTTTTGTGCGGGCCCATTTGTCTAACCCGCACGCTATAGGGCCAGATCGTCGACCTGAGCACCGAATCCCTAGCCTCCCAAAAAAAAATCGTTCAGTCCCTGCCATAGGGAAGGTCAACAGGACAGATGCGTGATGCGGGTGACGCGGGCGATCGATCTCCGAGGGGATCCATCCCTTGCACGCGATGCGGGGGACGCGGGGGCGGCTCGGTCCAGAGGACAGGCCGACGCTTTATCTGATCGAAACTGCTCCGCTGAAACTTGAAAGAGGCAATAATACTTCAGTTTCTATTCACACATTCATGGTGGCTGATGTGCCGATCTTTTCCACTGCCGAAGGGTGCAGGTACGTGTATATATGCCTCCTCCCCTATCACTTTTTACTCACCCTTTCCGTCGCTACACCTCCCAAAGAAGCTTCGATCTGATCTAGCGCTGTACCAGAGACGACTGGGAGCGAGGAAATTCAGAGCGGCGCAGTGTGAGGCTAGGTGACGTGGGGAGATGCAGTGGCAAGTGGCCGAGATAGGTGACATGGGGCCTTGCCAATCGATGCGAAGAAGGTCTCACCGACTGATGCAGGGAAGTTCATCCGCCGTTTTTCAAAAGATGAGTCAAGCAAGCAGACGTCTGTATGTTTCGTATAGCAATTAATGGCAGTCGAGGGAATGGTGCCGGCGGATGGTCGAGGTGCGATACAATTTTGCACTCCTATGATATGAGTACGTCCCGTCCCTTTATACCTTTTCCCCTTCTTCCTCCGGAAATACCATGTCCCCCGGCCATGCCTCTCCTGTTCTCCACCAAGGCTGCTGTATCTGCATATTTTTCCTCCCTGTCACCCTTCTCCATTTGGTCAATTCAAGTCGTCCTACATCTGTTTTTTCTTTTTCTTTTTCTTTTTCTGCTGCAGGTTAGTTAGCATGGAATGCTAAGTGAAGACTATGAAGTGTGGTTCTGGAAAGTTTTCGGAAAAATATTCACGAGTTGATTATTTGCAATGGCAATCAGGTTAGTTAGCATGGAATGCTAAGTGAAGATGGGTTTCTTGTCCACTGTATACTGTAGTCTGTACTCTGTGCTATGGAGGAGAGTGGCAAGGAAGATACATACTTTAAGCTATTATAGGCCGGAGCTACATCTCCATCCTATAAAGATTTTTTTCTTTTCTTTGGGAAGGTCTTTTACCAGGCCAAAAAGTGCAGGAGCTCACAACGTGCTGTAAGTGTAACTTTGGTCCTGAGCATGTACGCTGACCTTACTATATATCTCACCGACTAGATCGTATCACACGACAAGTTTCATCTATCCTTCGCATACATTCAGACAGCAAAGGTGCATAAGATCCTATATCGTTTTTCTCTAATCTAATTCATTTAATCTAAACAGTTTAGAAGGTCACTGATGGAGAATATTTCCCATTTCATACTGAATCATAACCATTCAGATTTATATTTATTGATTTGTGCTACTGCTGTTCAATTTTTGCACCTTTTAAATTTATGCAGACAAGTTGTTTGATGTATGCCCAACTAAGCTGCAGATCATTGTTACTGAATTAATACATGAATTACTTTCTTTTCATATTTTGTAATTTTGTAGTTGAAGCAATTCGTCAAGAACAGACTAATTCGTATTTGTCTCATTCATAGATCTAGCATAGTTCTTTCTATCATTGGCAGGCATAGAACATTTTGTGTTTGCAATGCCATATAAGATAACAAGGGATTATTATTTTGCGGATCAAGAAAATTCTTTGGAGATAACGTCATGGGAAGGAGTATCATTGGAATATTTCTGTTCTCCCTTTGAAAGTTTTCACAAACTATTATATACCCCATTGAAATGAATCTCACCTATTCAAATTTCATAGGTGAAGCATTATTATTATTATTATTATTATTATTATTATTATTATTATTATTATTCTTATATCTTTATTTTTATCATACCACTTCTGATGCTTGAAACTCTATAACATTTGCCGATGTCCTAACTTTGTCTTTAAACATTGGCCAGGCTTAAATTCCTACTTTGCTTTCTTAGGGCAATGAAGTGGGTTTGAGACATGACCTCTCATAATGTTTCTACCATTCACTTCAAGTGCCATGATACTGTGAGCATATGCAGTCTTACTATTGCACCCAGTATTGATATCTAGCTTCAAAGCTTTTGCGCTTTTGCTTCAAACATTGGAAATGATTTATAAAGCTCATATCAAGCTCCAATATGGTTTCACTACTGTAATTTTTTGAGCCAACACATAGAAATAGATGGACGCAGCAACGCGTGTCATCGATGATCTAGTTTACGTTAAGGTTGTCCTTCATTCCTGGCCTCCTGCATAAGACGGTACTGTAGGTGGCACCCAAAACGCTGTGTTCTCCTCTGTACACATCCACTGTTTCAAATAGCCCGCTATAGCTCCGCTATAGCACGCTATAGCGTTTACAAAAGGTCTTGCGCTAAGAGATTTTGGTCCAAACAAATGAACAAACATTTTAAATAGCGCGCTATAGCTCCGCTATAGCACGCTATAGCATTTGAAAGAGGTCCGGCGCTAAGATGCTTAGCGCGCTATTTAAAACTTTGTACACATCTCTCTTCCTCATTTTAAGGTGATGCATGCATGAGAGGCATATATACCAAGGTTGGATTGCCAAGCAAATAACTCCTCAACTCCACGCAACGGCGGCACAAGCTCAAAAATAAATTCCAAAATCAGGGAGGAGGCGAGGAATCCAGCTGCCAACTTATTTTAAAGCTTCTTCATCCACATGATGAACCAGCTACACGTACGATCGAGGCCCAAGAGGGTGATTGGTGAAGAGTATAAGAAGCTACCGTAGGTAGGAACAGGATGGACCCAGCGTTGCATAAGGCGGCGGTTCAAGGTAGCGTAGCAAGCCTGAGGGAGCTGGTGGCCGAGCGTCCCGGCATCCTTGGTTCCAAGACGCCCCATGGGAACACCGCGCTGCACATCGCCGCCGAGCTCGGCCATGCCGGTTTTGCCGAGGAGGCCCTTGGTGTGGACGACAAGCTGCTCGTCAGCAGGAACGCCGACGGCGACACACCGCTGCACGTGGCGGCTAGGGTGGGGAAGGTGGACGTTGTGGACCTGCTCATCGTCCGAGCATGGGTATGGCATGCGGAGCATCCGCACTACTTCCCCGCCGCACAGAATGGACAGACCGGGGAACCTTCCCGGAGCCCCCCTCGCAGCGCGCACGGGCCTCTGTTGATGGCCAACAAGGCCGGCGACACCCCGCTCCACGAGGCGGTGAAGCATCGCAGGAGCGCCGTCGCGCTCAGGCTGCTGGAAACCGAGCCAGGCCGCGGCCACGTGCTCAACGTGAAGCAGCAGACGCCGCTACACATCGCCGCGCGGGAGGGCCTCTACGACGTCGTGGCCAAGATCGTCAGCCAGCCCTGTGAACACGACAGGTTTTTCCCCTCCGTCAGCGGCTCCGCCCTGCACCAGGCCGTCCTCAGCGGCCACGAACGTAAGTGAATTATGAAGGACATGCCATCCTACGCGTTGCCTTCTTTTCGTTGTCCCGGTCCTGTATCGTGTAATTACATTACTACCGGTGGCGATGCAATCGGCAAGCAGGCGTGGTGGAGATCTTGCTCGACGTGACGCCGCCGGATCAGATCGGGCTGACGGACTCGAGCGAGAACAACGCGCTGCACTACGCGGCGCAGAAGAACAACGCCCGCGTGGTGAAGCTGCTGCTCAACCGGAAGGTGGACCTGGCCTACAAGCGCAACCGTGACCTGCAGTCGCCGCTGCACATGGCCGCCTACTACGGCTCGACCAAGGCCATGGCGGAGCTGCTGCTGCAGTGCCCTGATGCGGCGGAGATGGTGGACGCCAGCGGCAGGAACGCGTTGCATGTCGCCATCACCATCGGCAAGGTGGACGTGCTCCGCTGCCTCCTCAAGCTGGTGCGCCCCGAGGACACTATCAACCATGTCGACCGCGACGGCAACACGCCGCTTCATCTGGCGGCCAAGTTTAATCGAGCACCGCTTGGCCTGCTGCTGCTCAAGGACCGCCGGGTGAACCCATGCGTCCTCAACCGCAACGGCCGCACCGCTCGGAGCTTTATCGAGACACAAACACCAGTGGATAACCTCACGGTAATTTATGTCGCCTTCCACTCCACTTTTTTCTCTGTATATAGTCCATATTTTATGATGTAGATTCACTTATTTTCCCGCGTATGTAGTTCATATTGGAACCTCTAAAAATACTTATATTTAGGCTGGCCATAGCAAGGGTATCTTAGCCGGTATTATGTAGTCGGGAAAAGCAAACATGCATGATGATGTGGCATAGAATTAAAGAAAAGAGAGAGAAAATTAAAGTAACATACGTAGACACTCTCTCAGTTTCTTTTTAGTCTGCATATAAGATCTAGTCAAAGTCAAACTTTGTAATGTTTGGCCAACTTTGTAAAAAGAAATATCAAAATCTACAATAATAAAGTTATATGGTATGAAAATTAATTTCATGATGCATCTAATAATATTGATTTCAGATTATGAATCTTGATGTTTTTCCTATAAACTTAGTCAAAGTTAACGAAGCTTGACTTTGACCAAATCTTATATGCAGAAACGGAGGGAGTACGTAACATAATAAATGATATACTACTTTGTGTCATGCATGGCCATAAATAACATCATCTATGATACTATGCACTATAAAGATACGTAGTATCATACACTAATATCATATGCATGATACTATTATATGATACTTCTCACTATGAGCAGCCTTAGGAATGTAGGTAGTTTGTAAATAAATTGCAAGGCACTGGAAAATAAATTACACTATGGGCATAATTTGTATACACATGCATGTGTGTAATCATTTAATTTATTTCTAGGTCTACTTCTGGAAGGAGCTAAAGAAGCAAGAATCCATCAAATGCAAGGCGCAACAGCTGCCCCCTGAAACAACGCCTGATTGGTTGCAGGACCTCAACCAGTACGTGCAGCAAAGGATGGGGACCTACACTCTCGTGGCAACTCTCATCGCAACGGTCACCTTCTCTTCAACCTTCACCATGCCCGGCGGGTACGACCAGCAGGATGGCACGGCCATCCTTGGCCACCGGCCAGCATTCAAACTGTTCGTCTTCGCGAATACCCTGGCAATGCTAACGTCAATCGTCGTTGTCTTCGGCTTCATCTGGGCAAGAAGGGAGCAGCTGGATTTTAGGACCGGCAGGGTCATAGCTTGGAGCCATTGGCTCACCGTCATCGCCTGCCTCTCCATGGTCGCGTCCCTGACCACCTCTGTCTACCTCACCGTCGTGGCAAAGGCACCGTGGCTCGCGTATATAGTCATTGTGATGGGTTGCAGCACTCCTTTCGTGATGTTTCTGATGTTGGGCAAGGACTTGTTCGCCACACGAGTGTAGAACTAACTTTAGGTAGATCGTTGCATGTTAAAGTACATATTGTAACTACTGTAGCATATCCGGTACATATTGTAACAACTGTAGTATATTCAGAGATAGGTTGAGATCCTAGTCTATCCGTCAGGTAGGTGGTTAGATGAGTCGTAGGAGGTTGTAACAAATCATCATTTCCAATAACCATGGTCACATTTTGCAGCATCACAAAGATACAGTATCACTCTCAATTTCATGAAATCATGAACAGTTTTTAAAACTCATGAGCATATTTGAAATCATGAGCATTTGTCAAATTCATTAACATTTTTACAAATTTCCGAACATTTTCCAAAATAATTAAGAATCGAATTCATGAACATTTTATACTATTTACAAACATTTTTTAACAATTTTCTTGAGTCGGCAAACATTTCTATATTAGACGAACATTGTTTTGGAAATTTTTGGATCATTTTTCTATTTAACAAACATTTTTTATTTAACAAACATTTCTTGAAATGCGTGATCATTTTTTGAATCAACAAACATTTTATGAATGAATAAACTATTTGGTAAGTCATGAACAGTTTTTAAATTTCAGGATATTTTTTTCATGAACATTGTTTGAATTGGCGAAATTTTGTTCATTCATTAACATTTTTTAATACTAGAACTTTTTTAAAAATCATGAAATGTTTTATTTCCCAATTAGATTTTAAAATTTATAGCATTTTTTGAATAAGAAATATTTTTATAAAACTGCGGACATGTTTTCAATCCACAAATATTTTATGATTTATTAAACATTTTATTTCGAAATTCTCATATTTTTATAATGTTAGCACTTTTTCAAGTCATTTTAAAAAAAATTGAAACTTTTTGAAGTCCTAAATTATTTAAAGTAGCAAAAAGGAAAACATAAAAAAGAAAAAGAAAATAAGAACATTTAAAAACTAGGCCACCCGGACATGGCCCGGTCCAAAAGGGTGTGGTGCGTCTTCTCCCAGCGCGCAGAGCGCAGTTTGGGAGGTCCCTACTGCATGAGCCGGCCAAGGCGGAGGATTCCCCTGTGCGAAATGTTTTTATCACTTATAGGTGGCATTGGTGGGTAATATTTTACAATTTTGATGCAGTTTCCATGATGTACCGCAAAAAGCAATAGCCCCTTTATTATTAGAAATAGCACAAATACCTGTGCGTCGCACCGGGCGAATAAATGGGCATAACCTATCCAACGTGAGAATTTCCTTATTTTTAATAAAGTTAATGTTTTAGCAAAAGAGCCCGTGCGTTGCAACGGGTATGAAATAAATTCCAGGGTTTACGTGATATTCGAGAGTTTATCTCATGGTGAAATACTGAGCTCTATCTTTCAATCTGATAGATTCTTTTTCGTCTTATCATGAATTCATATTTTATACTTGACCACTTCAAAGATAAGACTGTATTAGAGAGTAAAGACTTTACAATGCTTGGTGCTCTTTTGTTGATACACTACCGCCAATAGTAGAAGACACCGAGTGTGCCAACTTGGCGACTTCCCTTGACACCATCATCAGGTCTCGAACAGGATCAGGATTAGGAAATGAAAAATTGCGAGTGAGATGATATGACGAAGGGGAGAAGCTACATGCATGGAGGTGGTGCACGGAAGGACCAAGGACATGGCCGACATAGCCATGACCACATGCTTTTCTCTCTCCCTCCCTAGCCGGCGCAACCCCTCCTCTAGACACCGTTCGAGCAGGATGCACCGTTGTCGTACTCTCTCAATTCTTCGTCCCTCCCTCCTCTCTATCTCATCAGCGGCATCAGGAACATCGAGACTTGAGGAATATATTGATGATCAGGTAGTCCATAGGTGAGCCCCAAATATCTTTTCCCTTCAAAAATAGTATTTACTAGCTTAGCCCGCGCGGCGCCACGCCGCGCCCCTCAATAAGTCGCGACTATGCAGAATATGATCTTATTAGAATACCCAAAAAGAGTTATATTTAGGAACGGAGGAAGTAGTATATTTGCAGGCCAAGATGTTGCATTTTTTTTCCTAAGAATTCTTGTCCCATCCCATGAATATGGAGAATCGATAAAAACATGCATTTTTATTTGCTTACTACAAATAAATTGGAATAAATTATTCCTTTATTTTGGGAGATGGCCTCTTGGAGGTAGACAACCAGTAGTATCAGTTGTTGATATATTCGTGGGATACTATGTGAAGATACGTGCAAATTTTTCGTTTTTCTTTTCTTTCACTGAGACCTAGCCAGCCTCTAAGGTACTATGTGTGTAGCTATGTCTGATAAGTGATGCACCACTTATGTGTGGCTGCGCGTTTTGCATGCATGTCTTTCCGTCTGATCTAATAATTTGGATCAGTGTCCTTTAATTAAGTAGTACGTGAGTTCATACATTGGGCTGTGTGTAACAATGCATGCATGCATGCATGCATGCATCCAAGTGGCGAGGGAGACATTTTCTTACCAGAAATGCTACATAGAAATCCTACGTGATCTTACTAACTTTCCTAACTAATCCTTCCACCCCCTGATTCCAACGGGGTGGGCCCCCCTCCCCTAATTTCCTTCAATTAGAAAAGTCCACCTAAGCTACTACGTTAGTTTAGGTATGATAGCTAGCGTAGGTGTAGCGTTGCTCTTTTCTTACAAAGTAGCCTATTTAGGAGGCAAGCTACAGAGTATATCTGATACAATCACAATGGCTGCCTTCTAGTGCATGGTGCTGGTCGAGTGCTAGTCATACCTAAAAATGCACGCGTATCCTCGATGAGGTAAGGTGTCGATTCAAATAAGCTGGATCAGTGTCACTGACGGGGCTAATGCAAATTAATGATGTTCCTATGTCTTGTTTCTCACTCAAGTTAAGGAAAGTGCAAGGGTAATATCCTTGCGTGCGTGCATGCTCCAAGGCATTTTACACACGCAATACACAAATTCTCCATTTGGGGAATCCATCACACGGTCCGATCATCACCATGGCAGGATCGTTGACGCCTCGGTGGTGCCAATCCGGCAACCGTCGTCAGCGGTAACTCCGTGTCGTCGAGGGCCAGCTGCAACTGCAAGCTCTCGAGCTCCAACAGGTCAGACTGTTGGAGCTGGACTCGCTACTCTGCTTGGCCCTCTCCCTCTCCTTCGCCACGCCCGCAGCAGCTCCATCGCCCTTTGCTTCGCTCTGCCTCACTCACTGATAGCTCAGTCTCACTGCCGCCAGCGTGGGGCAGCCTCGCCGTCGTCCTAGCTCCATGATCGTGCTCCTCCTCGTCCAACACGACCTCCACCGCCGAAGAAAACCTCACAGCCCGCCTCCCCAAAGTCAGAACCCCGACAGCGGTATTGAATTCATGCTCCAGCCAACTCATCCAAAAGTCCGAACTGATGGAGGAAGGCGGGCAATATATTTCAACACTCTCCCCTAGGCTATTTTAGTCCTTAGATGTGGGATCGATGTAGGCCGCAGAATCGTTTTATTTAATACTGCGTTGGCAGGGTCTTGAACTCAAGACCTCTTGGCTCGGATTCCTATATTGAATTCATGCTCTAGCCAACTCATCCAAAAGTCCGAACTGATGAAGGGAGGCGGGCAATATATTTCAACCCGTCACAGAGTCCCGCCGGGAAGCGCGTGATGACCATGATCGGGGCATCAGGCAGCCTCGCCGTAGTCCCACTCCCAGCTCCATGGTTGTGCTCCTCCTTTTGGAGTCAGTGTTCCCGCAGCGCCGCCGCGGAGTCTCACCGGGAAGCACACCATGACACGATCGACCTCACTGACACTGGTTCCGCGACCAGTGTCAACACAACGACCTTGCCGGCGGCTTCCTGCTGCAGGAATGCGGTGCCGACGTAGTTCTCTTCCACCACCTGGTCTTCCTATTCTCCTTGCTTTCCGATTGCCGGCGGCCGCAAGAGAAGCGACGGGCCGTTCGCCCGGTAAAGCAGGCCGCGGGACGACAGTGGCGGCTTGGGCGGCCGAACAGACGATACCGACGACGGCGATGAACCAGTGGAGGACGGACGCCAAAGGCCGCGAAGGAATCTCCAACAGGAACACGTTGGCTCGGCGTGGCAGAAGTATCGAGAGGCCGCCGCCTGCACCACAGTCCACAGGGCCCCACACTCCGGCCACCGCTGTCTGTCCTCCCCGCACAACCTACCGCCTAGATGCGTCCACCCCTGCAACACAGGGTTCCACACGGCAGCTGCTCGAGCCCGCGGCCATTCCGTCGATCTCGCGATGACCGCCGGCCGGATTCCAGGAGGACGCCCCCACCGGCCTTGACCAGACGGAACAACAGTAGAAGTAACCATCTCTAAATTCTATCACTAAATGCAGTCCCAAATGCGCGAGTGGCAGAAACCAGAATGGAGGGAGATTGGATGGAAGAGCCTCGTATTTATAGCAAGCAAGCAAGGACTAACCAAAATACAAATTGAACACAGCGAGTCAATGCGACAAAGAAACCACTAGAAAGGCCAAGGAAAGCGGCGGCCGACTAACCCATACGCCATGACCGGAAGGCACGGCCGAAGCGGTGATCATCATCACAACAGCGCACGTGGCGTAGAAGAAATCCAAAATCGAAACAGCCACCAGCGTGGCATTCCCCCACGGCAGCAGCAAGACCCGCGAGGCAAAATAGGCCCATCTGGTAGGCAAACAGCACCTCGCGCAGGCACCTCGCGCAGGCAGGCGCGTACACACTCAAAAAACGCTAAAGCAACCACCGCGACGGCACAGCAGTTCAAAAAATTTCAATGAAATAAGTGAATCCACAAAGCAATTGTACACCGCCACATACCAAAATAATACCACGCGGCACATACGCTATTCACCGTGGGTCACTTTCAACCAAATGGCTGAATCTCACTGCGAAAATCTTGTCTGGAATAGAGGCTTGGTTATTTTCAATATTTTCTGAGCAAATACTTCCAATATTCCAGTCACACATCTTTAAGTACTGTAACTACTAATATTCATAATTAAGATTAAGATATGGTAGG